ATATGACTAGAGACCTTTCCAACGTTCTTCAGGCGTCGATTTAAATGACATTTGTCACCCTGGGCATGCCTGCCCAACTGTAGCTAGCAGTTCGGGTGTGGGATTGTCAGTCCCGAATAGATCTATTCACAAATCTCACGCTCTCCCTCCAGGAGACTCTGGTTATACTATGATAGGATTTATCCCTGTACACCTAAGGGTACAGTAGTGAAGTAGCGCCTCACAGTATCGTACAATCTAGTTTACATGTAGTGTAGTAGCGTTCTACCGTAATGAAAATCCGAATGTATATCGTTTGTAGTGATAATTACAGTTATGAAAACGCGATAAAGTAGTGATGCAAATTGTAAACTATTTCTGTCTTAGTGCATACGTTTAGTAGTGAAAGTTTCTATACTTGTTATGCTTAGAAAAATCCCAAACTATACCGATTATAGTTTGTATGTAAAATGTAGTGAATAGCGAGTCCGGAAAACCATGCAATTTTAGTGAAAACGTCCCTTATGCTCAACACAGTACAAAAGGGTTAAAGTATGAGAATTTCATGAGTTTTGAAAACCTTTATGTTTAGCTTGTATCCCCCCTGAAAACATTAAAAATACGGAAAATATAGGGGTATGAACTCACCTTGAGCGAGTGGTTTGATTGAAGGATCGATACGGAAAGCTGGGTGTTCAAGTGAAGCTTTGAACACGATTTGATCCTAATCAACAAGTAATGACACATAAAGGAGTCAAATGATGGTATTTCACCACTAGATGTGCTGAAGAACCACTCTAAGAACTTGGGACTACTTGCACTAAGTGTTAGGACCTCAAAGGATTGCATGAGGGAGGTGTATGGCCACCTTAAAGGTGTGTACGGCCATGGGTGTGCGGCCGTACACTCATGATGGAAGGTGCCTTTGAGGTGTTTTCAAGGTCCATACTTGCATCCATGAAGTGTCCTAGGCCCATACTTGGTTGTAGTACAAGTTTAGGGTCTTAGAAATGGGTTTGTGGTCCTATGGTGTGTGTGTATGGTCGCACAAATGTGTGTGCTGCTGCACAAGGGAGTGTGCTACCTCACACAGGAGTGTGCTGCCGCACACAGGAGTGTGTGGCCGTACATAGGAGTGTGCTGCCGCACACATGAGTGTGTGGTCGCACTCCTTCAAAGAGATGAAGAACATGACGGGACTTTCATGATTCAAGGCCTAGATCAAGAGGTTCTTCATGCACAACAAGTTAAGGGATGGATTACTCACGTTTTTGAAGCCTTGGGAGGGTTTGCGGTTGAAGAGTCTTGAGAGAAAAGGTGTTGTGTGCTGCCAGGATGTTAAAGGAATGAAAGAAAAGGGGTCTATCCTTTATATAGGATGGGTGTGCTGTCAAGAAGGGAGTGTACTGCCAGGAGGTATGTGTGCGGCCGCACACCCATGTGTACGGCCGTACACTCCCTCTAAAGGTGTGTATGGCCTTGTTTTGACAGTATATGACTTCTTGACTCATTCCTAGACTCAACCTTGGTCATGCTCAAGCTTAGAATCACTTAAAGGAACCCTCAAGCAGTGCAAGAAGTCAACGAAACAAGTTTAACTTTGATTGAATTGACTAAGGTGCGAGATGAAAGTTTCGGGTTGTAACATCTAGCCAGGTTTATAATGGCAAGTCTAGACACTTAGGTGTTAGACATAGTATGATTAGAGAACTAATCATGAATGGTGTGATTTCGGTTGAGTTTGTGAAACCGCAACAAAATTTGGCAGATCACTTGACTAAAGGTCTGACAAGAGACTTAGTGCACAAGTCTGTAATCGGGATGAGATTAAAGTCCATTTAATTCTATAATGATGAGACACCCAATTCCCTCCTAATATAATGTTAGGAGTTGAATTCAATGTGGAAAGCTCATACTTATAGATTGGAACACATGAAGTATTCATCCCAGGTATGTGTTCGGTTTTGCATGTTAGCCAGGTTGAAGTTTAACTTCTTAATAATTCCCTTGATAAATGTATGTGCAGATACATGGAAAGGAGTTACCTACGTGATTGTGAAGTGTAGCCGTATTTCAAGAGGTTGTGGACTTGACCTTGATACAATCATGCGAGGATTGTGACACACGGCTTTATAATAGTGTCAAGTTGTAATTTGCTAGAAATTCAATAAACTAGTATGTATTTTACTTTCTGGTATTCAAATGAGTTGATGGGTTCAATTCTTAGAACACCCTGATTCTCGAGTATTTGCAAATGTATGATACTAAGTGGAAATTCAATCGTTTCGATATTTTCATTATGTACTAGTTTGGTTTGTTTGATAAAGGTTATGGTTGTTCAAGGGTTACACTAAAATGGGGGAGGATTGTTGGTATTTTAGTGTCAACATGTCATTTTAAGTAACTGGAACTAACATGTGAGCTAAGGGGCTTCATAATTTGTACTCTATTATATGTACGGGGTTGTGCGGAGTGCACGCATGTATAAGATCGAATTAGAAGCCGGTTCGACGACTAGTCGGGGGTCTGGGGGCAGCGCCCCCGGGTCCGAGGTTTCCAAAGGGGCAGCGCCCCTTTGGCGGGGTCTAGGGGCAGCGCCCCTAGCGGGGTCCAAGGGGCAGAGCCCCTGCTGGGGTCCCTAAATCTGAATTTTATTATATAAACCCTCACCGAATTTTACATATGGGACCATAGTGGAAAATTCAATTTCTTGAGGGTGTTTATGGTAAAACTAACGAAACTCGTTAGTTTTGGTAACCCTAAATCCTCATTAAATTCCAATTAACATTACTTGCTTCCAAAGCAACTAATGACGGCCCAACCTAATAAAACCCTAATATTGTTTATTATATAAACGACTCTTCTTTTCAGAAGAGGGTTACAATCTTAAGCTCTCATTTTTCATCATACTTTCACAGAATCCTCTAGCATTTTGGCTTACGATTTCTGTGCCTAGAATCGTAAGTGTCCACTTGGATTATCCTAGGCTGAATTTCTTGTAACCCATGCATAGGGTAGAAATATCAGTTCGAAAAGTGATATCACGATCCAAGTCGGTATCCAGATCTCCACCACAAACCCTAAAATTTCCCAACACATAACCAAAGTGACCCAAGGGGTGGTGATATCTAGCCGAAGGTTGGCCATCCCTACAACGGTGCTAATAGGGATGTTAGCTAACTTAGGTTTTCATTTTCATTCCGATTTGATGAATTTCTTCTCTGGCTGTTACAATTTTAACGTCCATTAAAATTATTTTGACGATTGTTTTGATGTTAATTTAGACATTGACCGAAAGGATGAACAATATGTTGACTATGAGTACACATTAAGGATCGTGAGAGACAATTATATTCATTGTAAGAACCTGTAAACCGACGATTAAAATATTTACATTGTTTTTCGAGTAGCAACATCGTTTGACTTGAAGAAATAATGGGAGACGATCTTTGTTACATATGATTCTCGTAATATTATTAATAATTTTTTAGGAATCCCATTGATCATGTGAATAATCAAAGTCATTTTGTTAATAACAACATCAGTTTTGGCAATGAAATCAAAGGTTTTTTTGATGGATGATGATGATGATGATTAATGATGAAAAAGTCACCAAGGAGCAAGGAACGAAATTCATTGCCGAGCCAAATAACCCATGCATATTTGTTGTTGTGAAATATGTTCCTTAGACTATGCCAAACCAAATGAGCAAAAACGATTTTCTTTAAAATCATATGGAGAATCTATTTGGAAATACTGCCGTAGATCCACAACTTGACCAATAAATCAGGTTGTGCCCTTATCAGGTTTTAGCAGTATTAGGGACAAAAGAGCCATCAAGATGGCCATGAACACCAAAACTCATGAAATGGGTTTCAATGAGTTCTTGCGCAGAATCGTAGTAAAGTCTGTCAAGGTCTAGGGTTAGAGGGATGAATGCCTTGAGGTTGGTATATAAGAAACACCAAGATTTGCTCTTATCCATGCAATTCAATATAAATCTAGAACTTAGTCGTATAACCATCGGAGATAGAATAAATACAACCATACATGCTATAAACAAATGACTAGAAAATGGCCTAATAAAAATGCAATATACATTTATTTATAAAGTGGACATGGATAGTAAGGGTAAATGTTAAAATGTTATATCCTAATATTCTTATAAGTTGATCTCACAACTAAGTAAAACCACAACTTCTAAAGTAAGAATACATGGATAGTAAAAAAGTATCATATTACCACCAAAGGGTTTGTAGCCTAGCAGGATCAGGTATATTGGAAATGTATCCATCCCCTAAGTGTCAGAGGGTTCAAGTCCTATAGTTGATAAAATGTTTAGAAATAGGAGTAAGTGTAGTGGGTGGGTGTTTGCTGTTGTAAAAAAAAAACATATGCTACCATTAATGTAATTTGGGTTAAAAAGCCATATTGTGGGCGTGACAACTCTATTAACAGTCTTAACTTTGTTATATTATTGTCATCATCAGAATATCAAATTTGTGAAATATGTATAACATGATTATTAATAAACATTGTTTTGATTTGGACCTGAATAAATATTTTCAAACCTAAAACCAAACCATCTAATCGATTAAGGGTGACCTCAACCCGACGAACCCTGAACCCCCCAAGTCAATAAAGTTATGGTTCTAACGGTTTTGCAGTTTAAAACAAATAACACTCGCCAATTTAAACAAACGAAAAATACAAAAAAGAATAAAAATAAAAAATAAATGTTGCCTAAATGGGTCTGAATTTCGTAAGTGACATGTAAGTTGGGTTGGGCCTTTCCTAGGCTCCGTCGTGTGACCATGGGCTTTTTGGCCTGTTGGTGGATAGAACCAATTGCTCTGTTTCTTTCTATAACTTTTTTCTTTAATGTATTGTGGTTTTTATGCTATATGTAACGGTTTGATGCCTAAGAGGCTAAGACCAATGGTCTAGCTTTGGTTACTATTTCTTTTCTAAAACCAAATTAAGACCAAGACTCGGTCACAAAACAAGGACCAAGCCATATTGCCATATTACAAGAACAAAAAATAAACATCATTACAAACTAATTATTTTTTTATTACAAAAAAAGGACCTATTGATACCCCCAAACCTAAACTAAGACCAATACTAACCAGTACATGAGGCTGATAGCGAAGTCTAACATGCTCAGTTCCTACATATCAAAAAAAACCCCACCCCACCAAGACATCTATATGATATGAACAACAACCATTGATATCCAAAAAGACCATTTAGGTTAGCCACAGTTATGGAAGCTACATGTAGCATTAGCATCCAGGGTAAGGGTGAGTCAGGTGTTGTGGGTCTGATGCACAGAGGTCTCACGGGACATGGTAAATACACTCTCATGTTGCTCAACTACAACTTCAAGATTCTGCTTTTGAGTTTTAGGAGACACCTTGCTTTCAGGGGAATCCAAACCAAAAGCAGGTTCGGTAGTTGGTTGACTTGGGATTCTTTCAACTCCCAACTCTACTAGCTCAACTTCTTCAAATGAACGTAAAACTGGATGTAAATATGCCTCAGACAAGAAAGATTTCATCTCCATTTCACCTTCATAAACTTCATCTTGTGCGTCCTTCTCCACAGCTTCCTGAGAAACCAAATTTATACATCAAGTTTGCCACACAAATGATATAGTTGTTGTTCCCTGATCTTTGATGTTTTTAAGTGCATTTTATTGTGAAAATAAAAAGATGGATGAGTAGTTACCTCAAGAGGGTATTTTTGGAAAGCAGGCTCGAACCGGCTCTTGCAGTAATTGTGGAAAGTCACAGTCAAAATCGGTAAAACAGCAAGCAAGGGAGTTGAACTTGCAGCCTTTTTTGTGCTAAGTAATCCCAACAAAAGAAACTGAGATATCATCAAGTTGGCTATTATCCGAGTATGAACATGTGGCCAAAATGCAGCAGCACTCTCGTAACGTTGATTGTACACGTTAATTACCTGTGTTAATTTAATATATACAAAAAGCAAAATTACACATATATCCTTCAACAGCCTACGTGAAACATGGAAAGAATGAGCACGATTTAAGATTTACCTGGTGACGATAGACAAAGTATGCAAAAGCAAAGAAGATGAGTATAAAGGGAAGAAGGATTGGAGTAACTACAGCATACACAGCCCCCATAAGGAAGTATAGTTGAAGAGAAGGAATGGTTTCCGGGAAATCTATGCTCTTGGGATTCATTGCCTTTTCTCTATCTCTTTTAGTTTTCACAAGTAACATGTTCTTGAGATGAAACATGATCAAAGGCTTCAACCGAAGAATCTCTCCTGCCATGCCTGCCCACCCATCAACCATTATATATGTAATAAAGAAAGTAGCTTTCATTGGAATCGATACCCCAATAGTCCTTGGAATCCTGTAAATCATAAATACCAATATGCTTACATTGATTTGTATATGATAAAGAAACTAGAATTTTGTTATTACGAAAAGAAACAAAACGTTACTGTGTTGGTGATTGGTGAAGGAAAGAATCAAGCTGCTCAAATGCTGTTCCAGTTACGATACTTCCTAAGAAAACATTCACCAGCATGAAGAAATAGTATTTTCCAGCCGTTCTCCTTTCCAATACAGAAAACGCAACGTGCCCTTCGATTTTTGACATGGTCATAAGAATTCCGGGAAGAAGCCATAGAAAAACCTTCAGAGCAAGACCAGGAAGAAAACCCTGAAGGAAAGACTTGATAAAACTCCTGCGAAGATTCCAAAATCAAATTCCGCCATGTCCATAATTAATACTTAAGAAGAAGAAGAAGAAGAAGAAGAAGAAGAAGAAGAATTTATTTACTTACAATTCAATCACGGGCTTGAGAAAAGGAACGACCCTTTCAAGCCCATCAAGATTGGCGAGCGATTGAACGAATGCGATGGGTATTATGTAGAAGAACACCAAGGCGAAGACAGCTAATGATATAACTAGTCTACGGATGCTCAAAGAAACAAAAGGTATAGCCAGATTTTTCCAGTAAACATCTCGAGGTTCAGGGGCCCAATCTGTTAACCATAAAATCGGGTTTTTGCTTTGTTGCGTCTGAGCGCACACAGCCGCACCCCATCGCGAGTTGAACGATACAAATGCAGCCGGCATAATGCATTTCGGGTCCTTGAAAATTCTCTCACGCTCCATCGTTAACTACTATTTCAATTTGCAAGAAGCCAATATATTTAATAAAATAGTAATTGAATAACTAAAAACTCCTTACATTCTTTAAACGGATTAGTAGTTAGTAGTTTACTCACCTTTTCGTCAAGCTCTTTAACCTGTTGTTGATAGTATTCTATGGAGTCTACCTTTTTACCCCAAAGTCCAAGGAACCCCGTCTGAGAGTTCAAATATCGATCAACACTCAAAAAAAAAAAGTTCAATATTTTACAGCATATCAATACATTCTCAATAAAAGAAATGTACAAGTTTTGGTGCATAAGATAAGATTAAGAGCAGAGAGTTACCTTTTTTGTTGGACGTTTGTGGGGAGTTCTTTCAAACTTAAGCTCATTGTAGTCTAAATAGTTTTGCAGTTTTTGTCTTTTCTTCACCGCTCTAGCAAACTTGTTTGCATTGTAGACGGCCTGAATCAAAATCACCAGTACTATGGTTATCATGGAATTAATATATGTATGCACATACATTATCTACATCTATATGTATGTATGCATGCATGCATGTATATGTAATATGTGGCATGGAGATACTTCCTTCCTTAACCCTTGTGATGATACAGACTAAAGACCCTATTACTTCTATGATTATTATGAATAGGAGTAATTCGAGCCGAAATAAAAAATCAGAATGGGTAATTCGCATTGCATTAAAAATCTAAGGAGCGAAAAAGAATGTATGCAAGTAAAGAAACTCAATAAAAATTATATTTATTACCTGGTGACAAAGATAATGAGTTGAGTGATTTTTTTTAAAGAAATAGTCTACTGTATCGGACACAGAATTTTTATGCACATGAGGCACGTTTTTAACAAGAACCTGCAAAAATAACTCATAAAGTTAAAGATGTCAGATGTAAAAATTTACCAAAGTAATAAAAAAAAAAAAAAAAAAAAAAACAATACCGTGAATTGCTCAGCTCGCCTACTTTTTGAAGCCAAAAAGTTCAATCTCATTGATGCTACCACATCATACTCCTTGTAGAGCATATAGCATGCCCAAAACGTGAACAAATACATCATCAAAATGTGTGCAAAAAATCTGAAAATCAAAACACACACATTGTAAATTACCTCCCTCGACCCTCATGTTGGGTTTTTTTTTTTGAAGTAACTATATAATTTCTGAATGGGGACTAAAGATTTCTACATTTTTAAACCAACCAGTTTCATATGAACTATAAAGAAAAAGAATGAAGAACATAAACTTACTTTGAAGATTTAGGTGGAACATTTGATATGGAAAGCTTATCAATGTCACTGATGACCAAATCGTGGCTGAGGAAAAACAACAACCCACCCGATACATTAACTGGAATTAGAACCAAGAAAGCCACAATCGCAGCTGGCCCGAAAATTTTTAAGCTGAAAGTTTATAAAGAATGACATTAAACTCTTAAAGTGATTAATTAAAAAAATAATAATAAGAAACAAATGAATATAACAAAAACTCCAAGTTTGTTAGGCCCCTCTCTCTCTCTCTCACTTTTGCTATTAACTCCGAGTCTCCAACTCATCACAACTCCAAGAGTAAAAGTTCCCGAATCCCACAATTACCCAAAAAAATTAATTAATTTTGCACTTTTTTTATAACAATTCTACCAAGTTAACAAAAATCCAATAAATTAAAGGTTTAGGAACACTCAAGTTCCTCAACAGAACAACAATAAGATCCCAAATTTCATAGAATCCTCAAAAATTCACAACCAACAAAGAAGTATTCTGCTAATTAAGATCAATTCATGAATAATTTCATCGATTTAACATAAAACCCATATGAAAAAGAAAGAAATTTAGAGTACCCAAGCTTTCATGAGAAACAGCAATATAAATCAGAAAATTAACAAGTTACGAATAATCTTTTTGAAATAGAAACCCATCGAGAGCAAAAGGAATTACAAGTACCCTAGTTTTCAAGAAACACAACAGTAAAAAGTCTAAGTTCTAAGCTTCTAGACAAATTCACAGGTAAAAAAAATATAATAAAAATGATTGATTTAAGCACAAAGTAGGAATGATTTCATCAATTCAACAAAAAACAAATTAAATAGGAATAGCAGAAGTCTAAAAAAACAACAACAGTAAAAACCCCAAATGTTCACAAGCTTTTCAAGAAATTTGCATTAGTTAATGTTGGAGTGATTAAGAAAATTAACCAAAACCAGTAAAAGAAACAACTTTAAAGCATCCGACTTTTCATAAAAGCAGCATTAAAAATCCCAAATTTGACGAACTGCTAGATAAAATTACCAGAACTTTGACTGACGAAGCTTAGCTTGCATACAGACATGGTAAATTAACAAAAACCCACATTAAAGAAGGAAGAATTAGAAGTACCCAAGAACGTAAATCCTCAAGAAAGCAGCAGAATCAAGGCCAGCGTGTTCAATAATCTCAGGCTCCTTCATGCGCATAGCTTGAGGCATCCAGTTAAGGAATGTAAGGTAAGTGTTGAAATTGAGATTGACGAATTTGCCCACAAAATTTCCAGTGTGTCTAGGACTGCTTCTGGCCCCAATAATGTACCATTTGGGGAAGTAAACTCTGTCATTAATAGGTTGGATTCTGAGTAGAGCAAAGGCCAACAAGAAAGCGAAGGCGGTGATTATGTTTATGAGTGCAGAAACCCCAATATCGCCAAGACTAGCCATCCAAATCCAACACAAGAGAGAAAACCAACAGGGAAAGCGAGTGAAGATGGCAACCGAAAAGGTGGCGTAGAAGACGGTAGATGGAATTTTGTCTGTGCAAAAAGGTGGCTGGAGGGTGGAGGTGGGTGGGGGGATGTTTGGATGTTTTTGAAAATAAATAAGTGTGACTATGCAACTTTTATTGTTGTAATAAAATGTTGAGAAAACTTCAAAATCAGTCTTTATATGGTTTGTAATTTTTTTTACTTAAGGTCCAAAATTAGTTTCGATTTGCAAAAAATATTCTTATTTGAGGGTTTATTTTGGATTTGTTCTCTAATTCAGCAGGTAAATGTTTTCGTTCTTTTTAGCTTGTGACTCTCACATAAGGGTATTTTCGTCTTTTCATGTTGAGAGGCCAATTTCAAAGTTAAATGTTTGAGTTTCAACTGTTAAATATTGTCTTTTCCAACCCAACCTATTTCAAACCCACGACCAAGGAATGGTGTTATGCTACTGTGGAAATTTTGTTGTAGTGTAGACCTCATGGACGTTGTTCAATCATGGGAGAAGATATGTAACATCCCAAGTTCAGGAATATAAGTTCGGGGTGCTATGTGGAAATAAATGAGTAGACTCGACGAGTATGTGTCTTAACTCGTCGAGTCGGAGCGGGTGTTGGGCACGTGTTAAGTGACCCGACTCGCCGAGTCGGCGGCGGGACTCGACGAGTCAGTGCTGGGAAGAGAAAACCCTAAATTTTAGGGTTTGCACCCTATTTAAATGATCTTATGTTCTCACCTCAGCCTCTTTATCATCCCTTGAGAGTCAGTAAACCCTAAAATCGTGTGTGAGCCATTGGTGAGAGCTTTTGAGCTTTGGAAGGTGATTCTAGTGAAGGAAACTTGTAGATCAAGAGGCTAGCATCAAGGAATTCGTGTAGATCCAGAATCTACTTCATATTGGGCACATTTTGGAGGTAACAAGTCGTTGCCTTGAGCTCTTCCCTTCTAGATCTATTCTTGGATGATGATTTGGGGCTATTTAGCATGTTTGGAATCCATTTCGGGTTTTGGGACTAGATCTGGGGTTGCAACTTCAGATCTGGACTTTTCTTGGTCCATGGAGGCATAAAGTATCAGCCCTTTAGCTTGTTTGTGAACATTCTTGTCTTGAACCTTCTTTCTAGCTTGTATTGAGCCAAAATCACCTTGCATGCACGTAAAGTTGGAAACTTTACGTGTAAGACTAGCCCTAGGAGTCCAGATCTATGAGTTGGAAGCAGTGGGATGGATTGAAATCGTCTGAATGAGGATGACTTAAGTGAACTCGGCGAGTCTGTTCTTGGACTCGACGAGTCGGGTCGCAAACCCTAACCCATCTGGTTATGATAAGGATCAGTGAGTTGAGTGGTGACTCAGTGAGTTGGACAGGCTAGGACTCGGGGATTGATGAACTCGACGAGTCATGGGGTGACTCGGCGAGTTTAGTCGTGATATGAGGATTTTCTGAGTTTGGGAAATCGGCGAGTCAAGGGGCTGACTCGGCGAGTAGGGTCAATCAGGAAGGCTGACTTTGACCAGGACTTTGACTTTGACCAAGAGTTGACCAGTTTGACTTCCAAGGGTATTCTGGTAATTTGGGCACTTATAATATGGTTCATCAAAGTGTTAGGTGGTGGAGTTCGCGGCTATGATCGGGGGATTTGATCGTACCTCTTCATTTCGGCATTGCAAGGTGAGTTCTCCTCACTATATCAACAGGGTCTAAGGCACCAAGGCCGACCCTTTATCGTTTGTATTTGGATTATTGCATGATATGCTTACTGATTTGCATCCTGGTAGTTAGGATGGTGATATGCTATGTTTTAGTGACCCGGTTGGGTTGATATCCTGGTTATAGGATTGTTTGATATGTATTGATCTGTTAGATCGGCGTCCTGGTAATTAGGACGGTATTATGTTTAGTGACCTGGTGGTTAGGTCGGTATCCTGGTATATAGGATGATGTTATGTCAGTGACCTGGTTAGGGTCGGTATCCTGGTATATAGGATGATGCTATGTTAGTGAGCGGTTAGGTCGGTATCCTGGTTAGGATGTGCTATACTATATGATCTGCTAGATCGGTTTGTCTGTCTATGGGCTGTTATGTGATTACCTGTTATATGTGCACATGGTTATTTGCTTGATGTTTGGGTTGAGGCGGTCCTGCTTTGTGCTGAAGGCCAACATACCCTACGAGCGGTCCGGATAGACTGTAGTCCCGTATGGCGATCCAGTCATACCGAAGGCTCGGGATAGATCCAGATAGACGGTAGGCCCGGTGCGGGCGGTCCAGTCATACTGTAGACTCAGAGAGTGGACCGGGTGGACTGAAGGCCCGACGCGGGCGGACCAGTCACACTGTATACTCGAGATGCATGGTTGTTCTGTATTTGTTGATATGATATGATTATGGTTATATAAGGTTGGTATTTTAGGGCTTACAGTTTTAGTTTATCGTTTCAGGTTCAGCGGATGGCCGCGGGTAGGCGAAGGCGTGACCGTACACTTCCTCGATTTACGATTATGATTTCTGGGAACTCTGATGTATAAACTATTTTGAAAACAAATTGTAATAATTGAATGGTTTCAAATGAATCAAAAAGTTTTAAATTGGCTTGAATTTTTGGATGTTACAAGTTGGTATCAGAGCCTTGGTTTGAGTGAATTGGAGGAACATTCGTGTGAATCCAGTCTCAAACCAAGGAAAGGTTTTCAAAATGATTTCTAAAATGGTTTTCAAAATAAGTAAAGGAGGATGCAGAGTGTACGATCGGCCGGAGCCAGTAAGTAGACCCCAAAATACCATACTGTTATTTGATATTGTGATATATTAGAACAGCATGCTAGTACTAGACTAGGGATCTTCAGGAATTGCATGATAGAATTACCTGATTTCATGATGCCTGTTAGCCTAGGGTTTTCCTTATATGAGATTGACATCATTACTGTAGTTACTTGTGTATGCATCACAGTTGTATATAATTAAGATCTTATAGCCTGAGAATGTTTGATCTGGCCTTATGTTCTGTTCTTATTGATTAGGGCTTAGGGTAGGATTGGATATTCGAAAGTCTATAGGGTCCAGCGTTATGTATGGCTAGCATACACTAGTGCTGTAGGGGTTGATGGAAGTTTCATGGATAGGTGGGTAGTGAGAGGCCGGGAGGCCAATGATGAGATATTTAGCATTCGTCTAGAGTGAGGATTTATCGCTCGCTATGTATATGTATATTGTAGGGTGTTGTGGTGATACTTGAGACAAATATGGGTAGGTGTGGAAGGTAGTATGGGCCCGTACTGCTGAAAGCACAGGACCCATACGCGTATCAAGGAAGTCACAACCCCCAAGGTTGGGTTGGAGTCGGTTCCCATGATTATGGTATGGATTATTCGAGACGTTTTGAGACCGGATCCAGATCAGGATCGAGATCGTTCGGGGACAGATTCTGGAGATGATTGGGTCTTTTAAGACCGTCATGGTTGAGTATTTCGACGAGCGCTATGCAGCCATTGCCGAAATGGTTGTCGTGGCAGCTTTAACAGCTGTAACGACGTCAAAGGGAGGAGCTGGTCGAGCTTCCTAGTTCTGGGATATATTCTGATGAGCAGAGGGCTGCAGTTATTTGGGATCGGGAAGATGATCTGTACTTGTTATATTTATGCGGGTTGAGCGGGAGAGGTTAGCACGTGGGTTTCTAGATTTGAGGGTCGGGGGTTTGCTCGAGGCCGGAATGTGAATCGCGGGAACTCCGGAAGGGAGTGATGATTATGTTCAGCTGGGGTTTTGCAGTTGGAAGTGGAATGGTTAATTGATGGATTGGACTGTCGTTTTATAGGGCAAGGATTGTGCCCTTTCAGTTTTCCGAGCTCGAAGGAGTGAGCAGGCTTGTGACCCCAGGATCAGGTTGTATTCTTGCTCGGGGTTAGTTGGTTGAAGGGATTGGCGATATTATTTCAGCGTCGTTGAGCACAGGTGGGTCGATGTGGCATAAGTATTTTGTGATGTCCGGTTTGCCTTAGATCTCTTGTATCGGACGGTAAGGGTTTATTGTGCGATCTATTGCACTTTTGGAATTGTAGACTATGTCTTGGGAAGTAGTCCGTAGCCCAGGTTAGGGCAGAGGTTGCTTCAGTTGTTGCAGTTCAGTTGTGGACGTTTGAGCGGGTAAGTGAGTTAGGGTGCGAACCCTGAATAGAATGATTCTAGAGCCCGAGAGCGGGAAACTTGTTTGGAGCACCTTTAGGAAAAGGGGTATTAGGTGTGAAGTCTGCGGATAGGGTCCTACAGAAGGGTTATCCATCATCATCAGGATTTAGTGGTTTCAACAACCGTTAGTGATTTACGAATGAAAGCGCCAAGGGAAGTGGTTCGTTGCTAAGGTATTATTTGCAACATTTATCTTTTGGTCTCCAGGACATGAGGGTGGGGCCATTCAAGCATTAGTGATTGTCGGTTTTGACTGGGATACAGAAAGTGTTCATCTGATTATTAGAAGTGTGTGATCAATTGGGAAAGAGTTGGTTGTCATCGGATCGATTGTAGGAAAGGGAGAAGGGTTGGGAATTCCCCAATGTCCATGTGTTGTGAAGACTTAGTCGAATCTAAGTGGGGGAGAATCGTCCCAGGATACAGAAGCAGGAGCGGTGTTGAAAATGGGATAAGTCTCGCATCGTTGGCAGGAAGGAAGACAAACCAAGTGGTTGTTTGTTTGGAGGATTTGTGTGAGTTGGGAGTTTGGTAAAACTTCCCAGCATGTGTATCACGTCTTCTCGGTGGTTGATAACAGAATTCGGGGAATCAGGTTGGAGTTCTGATCATGGTTTGAGTTCACTTCGAGTATTCGGTCGAGGGTGTGCTCGACTCTGAGGGTTTTTGGATTGATAGATTGAGGGTTTTGTTAGCTGCCAGGGCTCGGCAATACATTCAGCACGGGAGTGCAGGTTATTTAGCGTATGTAGTAGACACGCGGGTCAGGGAACAGACCACAGATTTCCGAGAGGGTTGGAAAATCGACATGAGGCCTAGGGTTAGGCTGGGGATATAGTCCACAGAGTAGATCAGGAGTTCGAAGCCCCAAGTGGGTGACAACAGGCTGCATGGGAGAGAGCATCAAGAG